CTCTTTTCCAGCCCGATCCAGTGGTTTGCTTCGCCTTTGTGGCGCAGGAGGAAGTTCTGGAAAGCAAAGAAACATTTGTTTGGGTCACTCCTGCCTTCCCCACCTCCTCTTTCCCTCCTGTGCCCACCCCCAGCCAGACATGGGGCTTTTCCCAAGGTGCTCCAGCCCTGGGAGCAGTTTGGGGCCAGGCTGGGGGGTTTTGGGGTTGGTTTGATCCTCTTTGTTTCCCCGTGTTTCCCACCCCGGTGCTGCTGCAGAGGCTCCAGCCCAGTCCCCACCAGTTCATCCCAGTCCTCACCAGTCCATCCCAGTCCTCACCAGTTCATCCCCGGTGCTTATGGAGGCCAGTGAAGCTCCCAGGGCCTCACACCTTTCCCGGCCCGTGCTCCAGTTGCCCTCAGCCACGGAAAAATAATAACATTTTCCTTGGAAACCGGGCCAGGTGTCTGGGCACACGTGGGAGAATTCGGGCTCAAGGAACTGGGGTCTCGCACCGAGAACTGAAACACAGAAAGCTGAGTCAGACACCTGGGCAGCCCTGAAAAGCAGGAAAACGGGATTGATTCTGGATCCTCCCCGTGGGGGTGCCCGGGTGGGACTCACCAATCACTGCCACGAGCAGGATCAAGCTGAAGATCCCCAGGGACACACACAGAGCGAGGAGAGCACGAAACCTGGTGTATATTCTCCAGACTAACTCGGGTCTGTAGGACCCTGGGGCAGGAAAGAGCAGGGTGAGGATGGCCCTGGCTCCTCTCCCCTCTGCTTTGCCCTCCTGGGCTGGACCCTCAGTCCACCCCGAGCCCCACCCAGGCCCATCCAGGGGCCCCTCTGGGGGCTCAGGAGTCCTTCAAAGCCACTGATGTATGTTTGGGGGCCTGGAGAGGGATCTTCAGCCTCCAGAGGGGAATTCCACAGTGTGGAATTCAGTGCCTGGGCTGCTCCACACCCACCCAAAGGCTCCATCCCCATCCCACTGGTGCCCCCCCGGAGCGAGATGCTCTTCCCACCCCCTGCCCTCCCCCTGAACGTTGGTTTTCCCAGCATTTACTCCATTTGCACTGTATCTCTGGATGGCTGTGGGTGTTCAGTGTTTCTTCCTGGATTGAAGAATTTGTCTCTTGGATTCCCTTCCCCATCGTGGCCAAGAATCCTCAGGGCTGAGAATTCTCTGTGCTCTGTGGGGTGGAAGCACTTGGCAGCCTGGGGTGGAAGGAGAGGAGAGGCTGAGGGGACCTGCAGGGAGCTGAGACCCTCCTGAGCCACAGCCCAGAGAGCCAGGACAGCCCTGGTGGGGTTGGCACTGGCTCACAGCCAGTCGTGGTGGTTGTCGTGGTGCCAAGGGCACCCTGCCAGGACTTTATCTCAATCTGAACACGCCTCCGGCACAGGAGGCACAAAGGACAGAGGAAGGGGAGGGGAAAAGAGAGGAGAGGGAAAGAGAGGGGAGGGACAAAAATTAAGGAGAAAAAAACCCCAACAAATTAAGCAGAAAGGAAAGAAAAAGACAAGTTTAAAGGCACTTGAACTATTAAATAAATAAGTCACTGAGAGCTCCCAGGTTTGCAGGGGACAGGAGCCTGGTCAGGGCTCAGGAGCAAGGGGGGAAAAGGCACCGAGGGCTCGGAGCAGAGTTTGTGCTCTGGGGCCCTTTTGAAAAAACACACAGGATGCAAAAATAGCCTGTAACATTCACAGCACCTGTTCTGCTCGGGTTTCCTGTGTTGAGCTTGTTTTGCTCACAGGAATCCCCGCTCTGGTTCCCCTCCCTGTGCCCACTGTTGCATCAGCACGACCTGGTTCCCTGCACCCCAAACCAACAGGGGCAGCAGCTTTTTGCTCCTCTTGGGTCTTGTGTTAAGTTATCACCAGCACCAAATGGACCAACAGAAGCTCGTCAGGAACGTGTCCTGATAAAACAGTGATGTTTCATTGCCAAAGTGAGCTCTGAAAGCTGCAAAGGTTTGATTGTGGGTGAACAGACGTGAGAAAAGCACAAAGCAACTCCCTCAGAGGGGGTTTGCAGGAAACCCAAGGACAAGCTCAGATGCAGCGTTTCCAGAGCAGTGGGAGGGTTAAATTGGGAGGAAAAAGGAACAAACACAGGATGAGCCAGAAGGGAGTGTTGTTCCTGCAGAGCTTAACAGGACAAAGCCCACATTTTGTCCAAGCTCTGAGCTGGGCCTGAGCCCAAACCAGAGGGGGATGGGAGGGTGAAGAATTTCCTATTTCAGAAATGAAAGTAAAAGACAGTTTAAGATCACAGAAGTTGAGCTCCCTCATTTCAAGCCAAAATTTCAGTCCTGCTCTCATAGAATCATAGAATTGGGTTGGAAGGGACCTCTGAGATCATCAAGTCCAACCCTTGATCCAGGGGTTCCCAGCCCATGGCACTGATGCCACATCCAGTCTCATCTTAAAAACCTCCAGGGACAGAGAATCCACCCCTTCCCTGGGCAGCCCATTCCAAAGGCTGATTACCCTCTCTGGAAAGAATTTCTTCCTAATATCCAACCTAAACCTCCCCTGGCACAGCTTAAGACCATGCCCTCTTATCT